ATTACATCTGGAACATTTCCAATTTTTCTGCTAACCCTAAAATAAAATCTCTCCAACAACAACAACAAAAGGCTTCTATAATAATCATTTGAAAATTGCCATGGACTTCAAGCATTATTTTGTTGGTGTGGTATTATTGATGTCTGAAATTTTGAAAGAGAAATTACTGTTGGAAACCTAAATGTTGTACAATCACCCTATATTGTTCAGTAATATGAATGTGAAGACTAGAACTACAGGTGACGTAGATATGCCTTTGTTTTCACATTGATATTTCTCCTTAAGCAATGCTCTGTTTTTAGTCCCTGAACATGAAGGCCACTTAAAGTGTCTTTATTGTTTATAATAACTTTTAGAAAAATCCATATGTTGTTTAACAGCAGTAGGCTTTCATACAGGAAGTACTTGATAAGGCAGCCTTGGGAGCCTATTGTCTTCAGAACGTTGTATTATATCCCATCCCCTCTGCGAGTCAGTTCCTCCTGCTCTGCTTGTGCTTCCTCCATTTTCTTTCTTTCTTTCTTTTTTTTTCTTTTTTTTAAAATCATTTGGCTGCACAGAGCTGCCTCATGTCATTCTTTGCATACATCATCTCTGTTTTTTTTTCTTTTTTCCTGCACAATGGCCCAGCTTTTCTGAGAGTAGCTGTTGTCCCGAGTGTGAGTGTGATCTTTTACTAAAATGTGGATTGAATGAAGGTGGAGCACACGTTATCTGGAAGCAAAGGAAAACCAGGCATTTGAAAAGGACCCAGAAAGGCACGAGTAATGAACCAGAGTGGCCTCGATGAATTGGTATAGAGGGAATTCTCAGTTTTGACACAAAGGAACACATGGATACCAAGGAAAACTAGGGAGAAAATCTCAGTAGGAAGCCTGCCTCACAGGTGGGTCAGTACAGAGGGTCAAAGCTGGTAGTTCTCCAGATAGAAAAAGAAACAAATGTATTTTATGAGTAACAGTTAAGCATTCAAACATGCCTTATTGGAGCACAAGGTACATTGAGGGGTTGACATCCCTTCATAATTCATGTTCATTGTTCCTGTAAGTAAAATATGTGTCTCCCTGTAGTTATTCTGTTAGGAACTGTACTTTGAAGGCAAGAGGACATTTTTTGATAATGCACATCTTAAACTTTTCATTAAACTACCAAATTTAAATTCTACCTTTTTGTGCACTCTGACATTTTTGTCTGGCATTTTCATTAATTTTGCGACATACATAAATGTAGCTGAAATGTTAACTGATCAATACTTTGTCTCTCTCATGTAACACTAGCACTCCGTTCCCTAAGGACCACACAGCAGAACAGAAATTAAATGTGTAAAATATCAAATGTTAATGTTAAACACGGCGGCACTTACTGTATAATGACAGAAAAGGCTAAAACAATTCCAAATGGACAGATGGTACCACAAATTATCTACAATCACATTTAAAGATTAAAGTTTGTCCTGTAAAATAATTCTTTGACGCACACTGAAGTGTGTCCTTTTACTGATAGCTCAGTTGTCCAATTATTTTTGTGCTCATTACAGTGAGAAATGACAGTACGGGAAAGAAAGAGAGAATGTACACTCTTTTTTCCCCCCATGTTGCACCCACTGACATCCATAAGAACACAAATGTCTGGTCAAGAGCCTGATGAAAATTAGGCCCAATTTATGAGTCATTTCCACGTCTCCAATAGATGGTTCCAAAAGACAAGCAGTGCCTTCCGTCAGTGTTCGCTCTCAGGCATGCAATATTCACAGTAAAATTTAAAAACCTCATTCATAGCACAAAAACAAGGACATTCCCAGCAATATGTTTGCCTATAAATTTTATCCATCACCTTGTAGGCCGATTTCAGCTTCTAACATCGTCAGCTGGCTTTGAACCTTCCCTGCAGCACAGAAGGATAGGGCTAAGGAGGCCCGAGCGGCTCTGACCCTGCATGTCTCATTCTCTCCACTTTACTTGACATTAGGACAAAAAGTTACTGTTTTTCCACTTTGATTCCATTATTCTAAATTTATTTTGGCTAGTAAATTAGAAAAGAAAAATAAAACAGAATAGAAAAAAGACACTTAAACATTATAAAGTTTACTGCTCTGGGCCTAAAACCAAGCCACATAATGGTACCAATGCACATGCTCCATGAGGCAGCTGCATTTATGAAAAAGTGGGCCAAGTGAAACCAATATTATAATAATAGACCCATGATCCAGCCACAGGGAATGATGGGAACAATATGTTTGTAACAATGGGGTGCTGCTCATACTTTCCTGCTAATGGAAAGCAGTTCTTTTCAATAAACTGGCCTAAAAAGGCTCTAGTCATGCAATGATATCTTTGAAACATTTCATTTTTAAGTACTCACATCATTTAATATCTATAAGATAAATAAAAATCCTACAATAGTTTTTTTTTTTCTGAATTATTATGATACTGAAATTACACGGTACATAATTAAAAGTTCTTTTAGAAAGGAAATAATGTCTGCTCTGTGTGACTTTGGCCAAGGTACTTAACTTTTCAGTACCTCGGTTTCTTCCTCTGTATATTGGAAAATAATAGTATTGACCTCATAATAAGGTTTTTGGGAATATTAAATTGATTAATACATGAAAAGCACTGTCATGCATTAGTGCCTAAAAAAACAGTTTTCTGGCACATAAATGCTTAATACATATTAGCTGTTATTATTATATAAAGATCTTTTGGCATTAGAATTTAATCTGAGGTGAAAATAGATGATTGATTGATTATAAAATAGTTTAGAATGTAAATGTAAGGTCTAGGGAAAATTGCTACAACAGCAGTAAGCTATGCCTATCGTCACTTAATAACTAGCTTTATTAGAGCAAACCCTCATTTATCTGACATCATTGACTAAAGAGCTTCTCCACATAAGAAAAATTTTCATATTGGTTCATTGGTTGGTCAATTGATTTAGACAGCCATTTATACTGGGAGCCCACTCAGCGCCAGGTACCCCATAGGTGATGGAGGAGTACAGGTGAAAAAGGCAAGGCTGGCATTTTCACGGAACTCTCAGTTCAGGTTTAGATAAGTGAAGTTTGGCTTTGTCATTTATTGTTTTCATCACATTCAACAGAATGTAATTCGGTACTTTTTTTTCTTTTCTTTTAATGAAACAGTTAATATTACTGCTTCTCCTCAAAAGTACTTGTAATGTGTGTTCAGTATTAGTTTGGCCTCTTTTTCAGCACCCGAGTCAGCAGTGCCTGTTCCCACCTCTACTGTGCTCCCTCCTCCCTTTTTTAAGCTTCTTGCTTTCGGCTTGTTTCACAGGCCTGTCTGTTAGAAATTGACCACCAGCTAAGAGAGATATTACATTTCTTACCCAGTGAACTTTGACCCTCTTACAGTGAAATCACTCAAGTCTTATCATGTACATGTACCTAAGTTTCTCGGAATTTCAGTGCCTGGTGTTTTTCTTAATCAGAAAGAAATTCTGAACGGAGTCTGCCATCTTGAATTCACTTCACACGAGTGACATCTAGAAGCCAGATGAATTTTATGCAGACTTACAAAACACACTGTAATGCTAACGTGTTAAAAATGAATGTTCCTGAACAAATTATATAATTATGTAGATTTCTCTGTTTTCAAATTTCACAAACAGCTGTAGGGAATGACTTTGGAAGGAGTGAATCAAAGATGGCAGCGTAATCTTTTTGGTTGAATATTACTGTGTCTCTGATAAGGCGCCCTGGAACTTGGGCACAATGGCATAAAATGCTCAAAGAAACTCAATATCATTTTTTCCCTCATTAATATCAAAGTGCCTCTATGACAGTGAGAAATCATAATAAAGTTTGCTTAACAGTACCCCCCCATATACTTAATATGTAAAATAACTAAATAAAAGAATATTGAAAGAGGTAGAGTTTCCTTTCTAAAACTTAATGACGATGACAATCTCTTTCTTTAAGGAGACAACAACATGTCTATGGGAAGCAGGCTGCCTAACTTTCTGGTAACTTACAACATAAAGGAACATACACAGTCTTTGTTCCATGTGCTCAGACATTAATGAAAGTCCCATACAAGGCCTGAAAGGAGGATAGAACTCAAAGTCCTAAACAGATGTGCACACCCTCATTTGAATGGTAATATTAAAATGTTGACTTGTTACTATAATTAAGGCTCTTCATGAAAGGCCCCATAATAAAGTCATATTCTGTTAAACCGACAATGATAAGGAAGCATGAGGTACTTATATTCTAACAAATATGACAATAAAATGAAGAATTTCAAAAGAAGGATTTCACTTAAACTTCAGACTGAAATCCTGAACAAGCAAAAATAATGTGAAAGCAGAAATTTCCAGCTAAAGCTCAGAGAAAAGTATTCTTTCTATTTGCAAGTTGGTCTCCTCAGCAGTTTTTAAATAACCAAAGTAAAAGGCTACAAGATGAACATTGTTAGAGGACTATTTGGATCTATCGAATTCTCACTTGTTCCTTTGTAAAAACTGGAAATCTCAGAAATAATAAATGCCGCTTAAATAGGTCATATCCACTTTCAATTGATTCACATATTAAAGTCTTACCAGTTAGCAGTCTACTGTCAATGATTCTCATATTTTGGAAAAAAAAAATATCTATAGAATGAATACAATTTAAATGAGGATGGTCAAGATTATATTAATTTTTCTTTAAAACTAAGGACTTTTCTTGGCTCTGTTATTGGGATTTGGGATTATGCAATATATAAAATTTTACTTTTTAGCTGTCATGGAGAAAATTATACATTGGCAGAGATGCCTTGCGTTCCGGAAGTCTGGGGGGTGGTGGGGGGTGGCTGTATTCTTGGACTCAGACCTTGAACAATCCATCAGGTTCTGCCCACGGCAAATCTGTCCAGTCAAGTCTTAAAATAGGAGTTTTAAAATGGCCACATCAACATAACTGTTACTATAGCCACAGAAACACACAGCTATGATTACTGAATTTAATGAATAACAATGTAAGTAATACAGTATGATCATACCACAAAAGCAGCAAGGCTCCTTGGGGGTGAGTCCCAATCAAAGCAACTATTAACGTAGTATGCAGCATTTATAAGCACCATGACACAACGCTTCGTTCTGATAAAGTTTCTTAGTAGCAGCTGTAATGAAGATGAAATATTATTAGAATTTGCAGGACTAAAAACCATCAGATATGCTGCAAAATTCTTCAAGCTTACTGTGATTTAAAAAGGATTCAGTAAGTTAATAAAGTTGTAAGAATATACCAAGCAGTTTGGCTCATGTGCTAAAGGAAAAGCACTATCTCTGGAGGAAGTAGAAGAAACTGAATTATAAGAGCAATTTCTTAGCTAAATATATGTTTTTAAATAATATTATCAGGTAGGTTGGACTACTTTTGTTCAAAAGAATAAAAAAATCTCCAAAGGATTAGAAACATTTTTTGCTACTTACTGCAAACCTTAAATATATTTTTAACTCTTAAATCATATTGAGGTTTTAAGATTCTTTGAATGCTTTAATTTCAAGCTATTTCAAAGTGAAATGGATGACTCGGGATAGTTTTATTTAGGGTCTTAGAGAAAAACCTTCAAAGTATTGCTTTATTATAGAAAACCTTTTTGCCCTACCATTTTAGTAGGATTCTCCCTTTCTTACTATCATATTCTCATTTTTTCTCTTTCCCTCTCCCTCTCTCCATCTTTACCTTTCTCTTTCCCACAATAAATTTAACCTATATTTTCTCATAATTTTGGAGTTAGAAAAAAATTTATGGTAACCAAGTGCTTTACAAAATCCTTTACTAAAAAAGGTATATGAGAATTGATATAATTTAAAATTTAAAACTAAGACATGACTACGACTATAAGAAGAACAGCTCATACACTAGATGTTGTTCAAAAATTATCTATAGCTATGTTAATAATTAGAATAATATATCTGCAGGCTAGTATTTTGTTACTTTCAAATACACTTCAATGCTGATCTGGTATTTTAAAGATGTAGCAATGTAAAGATTACTGAGGTCATATGGAAAAAATATATGTGTAAATATAGATGCAAGTACATATCAGCTTTAATTAGTTATTCAAATTCCTTTCAGTCAAATTTAAGAGTCTCCCTGCTTGTTTTCCTTCTTGGCCCCTAATCAGTTCCTTTAAGAGCTACTTTTATGAATTTTATCTATAATTGTGGAAAAATATAATCTGTATTTCTATTTAGATAGATACTGCATTTGTAACTCATACACTGTCTTTCAACAATCCAAGATCCCATTGTTTATGGTGAACTGATTGGATTCAAAATAAAAATAACTTTAGTCTTCTAATAGCACAAAATTTTTAAATATATTAATGCACACAAATAAGTTCTGTAAACTTTACAGACATATCAAATACATTTTATTTTAACTGTGTTAATTTTGACTAAACATTTTTAAAGGGGTCATTTAATGCTCTTTCTTAAGTTGATTCAAACCTAATTTAATACTATAAGTCTAATTACAAGCTATCAAGCCTAATTTAAAATTTCTTCATGAAAGAAAAAAAATCAGAGTTCCTAATTTTCTATTTTCTTAGCTGAAAATGTCAATAAAAGTTCACTTCGAAAAGATCATAGTCAAAATCTCATTAAGAAGGTTTTCCTTAAAAGATGGAGCCCCCCTCTCTTGTGGATTAGAGGGAAGAGCTTTATGCTGGGCTCGCTTTACACACACCTGCATCATACCTGTGGGTGGTCTGGACATATATTTGAACCTCAGCTTTCGGTGTTCTCATTTACACATTCCATGGCAATCAAATTGTATTTTATGTTCAAAATGATCATTCTCTTGCTAACCCATGAATACAAATCCATTCCATGCAGCATCTACAGTATCCCCTTTCCTTTTTGACCACCCCCATCCAATTTATTAGTTTGATATTGGCCTTGTTTGATCATTTAAGGAAAGGAAGGAAAAAGAGAAAAAGAAAAAGAGAAAGACCCATTTCCCATAAGTAGATGATCAAAAATGTTATAGTTTTTTCCCCCCTCCATACCTCCAAAGTTTATTTCAATTTAGTTAGATGTTTTACAGATATAATCAGGTCTTCCCAGAGGGATTAATCTTTCTTTGCTTTTTACCTGTTTAGAGAGTCTGTTTTCCTCTTCAATGTACTTCTGTTCTTTGGGTATTAATGTTCGTAAGCTGGCTTTCACCTATACATCAACATATGTGTCTGTTATGGATTAATATATTATAAATGTTTACAAGTTTTTCATGCAGTTCAATTTGCAATAGTTTCTAAAGTTTCAAAGACCTGGCTGCTGTGCTCATAAAATATAAATGTACACAGTGGCACATGCACACACTTCCATTTCTTACGCAGGCAGGCAGCGGCTGGAGTTCAGCCCGAGCAGCCGCCGCCAACTACAGCAGAAAGTGTGGGTGTGCCAGGCAGTGGCAGAAGCGTATTCTCCAGGATACATCAAGGTTTAGAGAAAATGAGGAATGACAGAAATTCTCTACAAATCAGGAACAAAAGCTTTCATGAAACTGAACTCTTTAGCAGTACAAAAAAGCCAAAGTTAAGACTTACAGCATTAAAAATCACATCTATTTCAAGATAGATGACCCCCTTTGTTGGCCCTGTCAGCTGCTTGTTTTTCAAGACGTAGGCTTTCTGTTCACCATTTTGAATCTGCGGGAAAAGGACATGACAGCCGTCTGTCTCACGGTCTCTACTGAATACACTCCCTCTGTGACCTTTGACCCCCAGCTGCTGAAACTGACAGAGAACCCAAAACAACTGTGGCAATTCTGACAAGTACCTGTTCATTACCAGGATCAAGTCTGTCAGGAAAAATTAACTATCATGGGATTCAACATGGCCGTGAATTGAGTATGTTAAAATTTTTAGTGTTCTTATTACAGACCTTGGTTGAGAAATGACAGATATAGAGCTGAGGTTTTTTTTTTTTTTTCCTTGAGCAAAAGCAACACAGAGCAGGGTGTCAGGTGAATAAAACTTACAGACAGCAATGGTATAGCAACTCTGCCCAGAAAGTCAGCACTTCGATCCCGATCTTCATCATAAACTGTCACTTCAAGAACTGAATGGATATCTTTAATGTTGCTGCATAATAAATATACATAAGAAAAAAAAAAGACTTCATCAGTAGAGAACAAGAATAAAAATGCTTTTGGAAATTTAGATAGTTCCAGCTGATTTTGTGTGTATTTATTTTTGTGTATGCTATTTGCATACACACATACTTGGTTTCTGACAGAATTTCCCACAATGCACCTTAGTAAACTACAGTGATGGTTCTATTATCTAAAACTTTGAACACCATCAATTTCAAGTTATAATTTTTTAATGAAATATAATTTTCCACCTGGATGGGCACAGAATAAATTATTACAAAAAACAAAACAAAAAACCCACCCATAAGTAGCACTGATATTTTTTAGACTTTTCCTTCTTACTATACAATAATTTCCATCTTCCTATTACCCTACATGAAACACCACCAGGTTTGATATTAGCAGGTCACAATATATTTAATATAATTTTGTTTTTTATTTTAATAGGACATCTTTTTGTTTACAGCTCTCATGAAAACATTGACTTATTTCTGTTAGGTTTATAGTAAAAATTAACTAACACAGAAAACAGAATGGAGAAAATGTAACATTGATAGCAACTGTACCACCCTAGGATTTAGAAATTAAGTGGTGTTTCATTATGTTCCAAAGACAACATATGTTAATAAACAACTGTGCAAGCTCTTCATATTTTTGTTTCTGGAAAAATAAACCCCAATTGTTGACAGCATTAATTCTTTGATCAAATTGTTTACCAAGAAAACATGAATTAAGAGAAGACAAAAATGAATATATTCATTACTGAAAGACTGCAAGCACATGTGAGAAGAGACTTTATCGGAGCACAATCAATTAATGGCTTTGATAATAATCAAACCTATTCATGCAATTATGCATTCCAGAGAAAAACACTCTCCACAACCTTCTTAGGAGTGCAAGTCTCCTGAACAGGGCTTTCATCTTTTATAAAAATGTAGAATTCCTTAAAGATAAATTGGTCAGATAATTAAATTTGATTAGTTACTGGTTCTTAAGCAGAGACATTATAAGAAATTAGTAAGGAATTTAGCAGTTTTTCAAATTAAAAAACAAACAAAAAAACCTATGTTAGAAAACTTTTAAGAAGCACTTCTGTTTAGAGTTTTCTTTTGTTCGGAGTTCATTGCTAAAGCCCAGTTTTTAAACACACACACACACACACACACACACACACACACACACACAGAAAACACAATGAATTTAGGGGATACTATAGTGTTGCATTGGCAGCTTTTACAGTGCATGATCAAAATGGTTTATAAACTTTTTAAAACAAAAGGAAAATTAACTCATAGGGTGTTTTGGTATCTAGGACAATACTTAGTATTCTTATTGGGTTAAAATGCAACAAACCAAAACTAAAGCATCTGCCGAAGTGGAGACCGGATTGTTTGCTGATTTGAGCAATGGAACAAATAGAGCTTTGTCCTCCTTGGTGTCAATGCAATCGAGGAGAATTTCAATAGAAAGTATAAAAGGAAGAAGCTGTAAGGCAATTCTGTTAATGGGAGAAAAATCTTTAGTCAAATCATATAGAAAGTTTAAAAAATATATCTGTGAAAACAAAGAAAAATGGCATACCCTTTCCCCAGGTTTCACTATTAGGAAGGTGGTGCAATTATGATATTCATTGTTGCTAGTAAAGGCAGCCTAGATGCATTGGGTTGTTCATCAGTTAAGAACAAACACACACACACACACAATCTCAAAAATAAATATACCTTAGTACCATTTTTTAAACGAGCTCAAGGTAATTACTACTTACAATGTGAAGACTTTGTTCCACTCAGGATTGAGATTTTTGTAGACGGTATGTGTTAGCAGCCTATCATTATTAAGTTCAACCACACAAAATGGGTCACTTTTACCTACGAGAGATTTGGGGGAACATTTTTAGTATAAATAGCACCCACAACTCAGTGTCATAATCATGACAACATCTCTTAAAAATTAAAAAACAGTGAGTACAATTTAAAATAATTTTTTAAACAACATCAAAATAGAGTTAGCTGCAATTGAATAATGTTAGTCATTGTGATTCCCTGAAATTTAGAACCAGAAAGAAAAGTGAAAGAAAGTAAATTATACAGTTGATATTTCAGTTTGTAATTTTGACAAAAATAATAATATAATGGCTAATTATGAGGGAAAATGTGATGCATGTCCATCCTTAAGTCAGTTTTTATTTAATTTTGTAGTGATCACTTGAAAGATTCAGGCCCTTTATTTTTATCCATATATTTCCCAACTCATCTGACTAGTAACTTGTAACAGAAATTTTTAAAGTTGATTTTGGGAAAACTGTTATATTGCAGAATTACATTTTAATCTGACTTAAGATTTTTTTCTGAAATATCTAAGGTATCACAAGAGAGTAAATTAGACCCTCTGAAGCTGAAAAAAATTCTGTCACTTGAAAGTTAACCTCAACAACCAATCTGCATGTTAAAGAGCAGTATTTTTATTTTACATTTTTGTCCACTGAGAGTAAAGGATTGGGAAGTCATCTGTTTATGGCAACTATGTTCTTCCACAGTCAAATCTCATCCATTCGGCAATTATATTTTGTGAATGTCCTCAATATTTTGTAATGTTGTGTCCTGTATTAAAGAACCCATAAAGTCAGAGGCTCTATGGGGCAGCATTAATGATATTACTGTAGCATGTAATTTGTTTGATACCTTATACAAATGACAATGAAATCAATATTTGGACAAAGCTGTCCAGAGGTCATATCTTTTAAACTACAATATTGATTTAGACTACATAAGAGGTTAATGTGAATATTATTAACTTTAATGATAGAGAATAATTGTTTTAAATGCATTGTGAATTGTAGTCACAGTTTACACTTCTATGAAAGCTTAAATATCACTGAAGATTTTTAATTAAATTTTAATAGGAAAGAATTCATTAGCTATCAGTGACAGATAAGCGATGTATTCCCACACAGCAATGTATTTACTTTACATATTGTAATTCTTAAAATGAGCTGTACAAACTTTGACTCACCTTTAATGTAATTTATTAATTTTATATTAAAAAAAGAGATTTAATATTTTTGTGTTAGTTCAGTAGCCTCATATACCCTAGGATAATTGCCTAATTTAACATTATAGTAGTCTTCTCAATTTGTGATCCTGGAATAATTTTCAATCAAGAATAGAGGACTGAAAGTCTTCTAGGTCTGGTGTGAGTTTTACCTATGGCTTAGGATGTGTGTTATCTTTTTTCCCTACCTTCACTTCTTTTGCCCTACCTGCTACCATCCTCACTTACAATTCACACACCATGGACAATAGTATAGAAAAAGAATAGTTTGTTCATTCAAACAAATTGTAATAAGTTTTATTTTCTCCATGAACAACTTTATTTTCTCCCATATACTTCATGTATAAGCATACAAATTCCATTCAAACAGTTCTCAAAACCTTAGTGATTCTTAAAGCTCGTGTTAAGTATCTTCTTTCCACCTAGCTTTGTGCTGGGTAATAGCTATGGTATAAATAAAAGAACAGAGACAATAAACTATAAGCTCAACTAGTTTATAAAAATGTTGGAGAGATAAGACATATCTACTATAACAACGAGAAAGAAAATTAAAGCCATATTTATGATAGAATTCCTTGTCAAAAGAGTAACTACATCACTTTAGACAAAACTTGAGAAGAAATGATTAGCTTTGGAAGCACACACTTAAAAGACAAGTGTAACTCTCATACTCCCTCCTGGATCTCCTTTTAATTTTTCTCATACATTCACGTTAATCTTAATTCAGCAAAAAGAAAAAAGACAATATAAAGATAACACTCTTTGGTATATTTGTTCCCCCATTATCACTTGCTTTACTTCATTTACTATTCTGGTTTACTTTTATTTTATTTTATTTTTCTTTATTGCTTTTAGAAAGGGAAGAAGGAAGAGGGAGAAAGAGATAGAAACATCAATGAGAGAGAACATCGATTGGCTGCCTCCTGCATGCCCCACACTGGGGATTTGGCCCACATCTTGGGCATGTGCCCTGATCGGGAATAGAACTGGTGACCTCTTGGTATATGGGTCAACGCTCAACTACTGAGCCACACTGGCCGGGTTACTATTCTGCTTCAAATGATTTGGCTTTATTTGCCTCCAAGTGATCAATGTGCAATAAATTCTATCAAAACTGCCCCACCTCTCCAACAGCAAAATGCAGGAACTACCTCCAGAGACCAATATCTATGGGGGAGAAAAGGTACTTTCAACATCTATAAGCAGAGGATGAAAATCTTTATTTGACTTTCTTTCATAGGAATTATATTTAATTGTGTATAAATTTTCCACTTCTTTTCATTTACCTCACTACTTTCTTTGTTACTATACCTTTATTTGCTAACAAAAAGACATCTGGAGTCTGATTGGCTGAAAAATTTTAAAGAAACAAAATCTGTTCTTAATGTTTAACACTTCCCATATCTTGTTAAGAAACAAATATATTTATCAAACCCTATGTCCATGAGGCAGTTGCTATTTAGATTTTCTTTATTATTTCTCAAGACCATTCCTAGGGAAAACTAATATTAACCATTGATCATTACTTTACTTAACTCTCTCGGTCACTCTTTTTGATTGGAATAAAGCACTAGAGACCAAAATAACAGCTTGAGAACTTTCTGAAGCCACTACTCAGTCAATTTGCTATTCTAAATCCCAGTGACGTAATATCATTGTCAAAAATACTGTCCTATCTGCACTTCTAACTTGAAACAGGTAAACCATATAATTTTTAAGAGACCACGTTATTAGAGACTGTGTGGAATGCAATGGTACTTACATTTTTTTTTAAAACAAAACCTTTTCCTAAAATAGATCAAACTCCTAATTAACATGGCTTTCATTTACACTGATTTTTCCCAATCTAAAACCCATTATTCTTTGTTGTTGTTTTTTTATCCTCACCCGAGGACATTTTTCCATTTTTTGTACAGATAGAGTGGGAGGGAGAGAGAGGAAGAGAGAGGAAGAGAGGGAAACATCGATGTGAAAGGGACACATCTAGTGGCTGCCACCTGCACGACCAACCAGGGCTGGGGACAAACTGCAGCCGAGGTACATGATCTTAGCGGGAACCGAACCCGGGTCTCTCCGGACTGCAGGCAGATGCTCCAACCGCTGAGCCAAACCGGCCAGGGCTAAAACCCATTATTCTTAACGTGCTTACAGCCTTTTTAAAGACTGAACTGTGGGCAGTGACATGAACAATCCTTGAAAATTCTGCCATTTTATAATTTTCTGAAACCTTATTCTCAAGTTCAACACCTTTGATGTCTTCTCAAAGCCTGTAGGTGAAAATCCACATTGCATGACATGGAATATAGTTTTTCAGCCTCATCTCCAATCTCAAGATCTTTTGAGCCCCTCACTTGAACTCCACCAAATCTTTCAAATTCTCAAATACTCCATGTACTTCCAAGAGCACTGTGCAAGGCACTGCAGTTCAGAGTGAGAGGCCAGTGGTCTAGGGGGAAAGGCACAAGTTTTGGAGGCTGATCAAACTGGGATTGAACACTCACTGCATGATCCTGAACGTATTCTTTTATGGAGAAAGTAGTAACAGGACTGGCTCTTTGCAGAGATCATAGTTGGAATAGAATTAGCAGAATGTCTGGCACACTAGCAGGGCATCAGTACATAATAGCTTTAAGTAATGTATTTTCAAGCAGAAATATTTAAAACATCAAAATGTGTTTAAAGTATAAGAATAACAGAAAACAATTCATATCTTGAGTTAAATCTCTTAGGCAAAAGAATAAACATTTGTAAAATATTTTACAAAAAGTATAGTAAATAAAGGGCAATTATAATGTGTATTAGTATAATAATTGCAGAGATTTACTGAGTTTTATGTTATTATAAGCCCAACACTGTGGTTTATGTTCATTTGCTTGAGACTTTATGACTACTCTATGAGAAAGAAACTTTTACTATCCCCATTTTACACATGAGGAAACTGAGGCTGGGAAATTATATAAGTTACCAGATTGGAAATAGTGGTGCTGTCATTTACACCCAGGTCTATCTGACTTCCAGAGCCCTTGCTTTACCCCTATGGCCCATGTTCCCTTCAATGAAATATCTTTAAAAGGAAGCCACTAGGCAAGCCCTTTCCCAATAACTATGTCATGTCTTAATAGTAAGCCACACAGAGGAAGAACTGGCTGGTGTTTTTACCATAGATTCACTCATTCAACAAATATTACTTACCATGTTCCAGGCAGTGTTATGTGTTGAGCAGGTATAAGTTCATAAAACAATTGAAAAAACAACAGCCCTGAATTCATGATATTTACATTGAGAAAGAATAAAATTCTCATTATCTATGAGTATTGAGAGTATCTATGAGATAATGAGTATTTTAGAAGGTGGCAAGTACTATGAAGAAAAATAAAAATGGGAAGGGTGATGAGGAGTGCTGGTATGTATGTGTAATTTTTAAAGGGGCTGTCAAAGACAGTCTCATTGACAAAGTGACACGGGCAAAAGAATGAAGGAGACGGGGAGTGAGCCTTGGGTTACCTGGAGGAGCAGGTCATGGAAAGGTCAGAGAAGTGACTGTGTCTGATGTTTCTAGGAACACCCAGGAAGCCAGTGACTGCAGGAATGGACTGTGGCCAGGAGAATGACAGAGTGCAGGGAGAGTGGCAGGCCTCTGTAGAATCCCTCTGTCACTCTGAGTGGGAGGGGAAGCTTTTGGAGGAAACTGAGCTGAACTGTAACATTCTGAGGACTGCTTTTGGAGAATAGGCAGAGAGAGGGCAATGGAGGAGTTAGGGAGAAGTGTTAGGGGACTATTGCAATAATCTAGGTGATGGAAAGTCGTTAGATTCTG